TCACAGTTCAAAGCAAGCAATTGTAGTGAAAACAACAAGCGAAACAAAGAGAAGCTGAAAAGCTAGCGTTTATTTTCGAAAAGTATAAACAAAAAGTATTGAGCAAAAGTATCAGTGACAATAAAATAATCGAAGAAGAATATATACACATAGAGTGCTGAAAAGAGAATATTTGCAAAGCAAAGCATAAACAAACTTTTTCAATCGGAGAGAATCGAAGAAGAATCCAGAATGCCTGCAATTGGTATTGACTTGGGCACCACCTACTCCTGTGTTGGTGTTTTCCAGCACGGCAAAGTGGAGATAATAGCCAACGACCAGGGCAACCGCACCACACCCAGCTATGTGGCATTTACCGACTCGGAGAGGTTGATTGGAGACGCGGCCAAGAACCAAGTGGCCATGAATCCAAGCAACACTGTCTTCGATGCGAAGCGTTTGATTGGCCGTAAATATGATGATCCGAAGATTCAGGGTGACATGAAGCACTGGCCATTCAAAGTGGTCAACGACTGCGGAAAACCAAAGATAAGTGTCGAGTTCAAGGGTGAACAGAAGCGCTTCGCGCCGGAGGAGATCAGCTCGATGGTTCTGGTAAAGATGAAGGAGACAGCCGAAGCTTACTTGGGCACCACCATCAAAGACGCCGTCATCACTGTGCCTGCCTACTTCAATGACTCACAGCGTCAAGCAACCAAAGACGCTGGTGCCATCGCCGGGCTGAACGTGCTGCGCATCATCAATGAGCCCACTGCAGCCGCTCTGGCCTATGGCTTGGACAAGAACCTCAAAGGCGAACGCAACGTTCTAATATTCGACTTGGGTGGCGGCACCTTCGATGTGTCCATCCTGACCATCGACGAGGGCTCTCTGTTCGAAGTGAGAGCCACTGCTGGAGATACTCATCTGGGCGGAGAGGACTTTGACAACAGATTGGTCAACCATTTGGCAGATGAGTTTAAGCGCAAATTTAAAAAGGATCTGCGCTCCAATCCACGAGCGCTGCGTCGGCTGCGCACTGCAGCTGAGAGGGCAAAGCGCACATTGTCGTCAAGCAGCGAAGCTACCATCGAGATCGACGCGTTGTTTGAGGGCCATGACTTCTACACAAGGGTTAGCCGAGCGCGCTTCGAGGAGCTGTGCGCCGACCTGTTCCGCGGCACCCTGCAGCCTGTGGAGAAGGCTCTGAATGATGCCAAGATGGACAAGAGCCAGATTCACGACATCGTCTTGGTTGGCGGCTCAACACGTATTCCGAAGGTGCAGAGCTTGCTGCAGAACTTCTTCTCAGGAAAGAACCTCAACCTGTCCATCAATCCGGACGAGGCGGTGGCCTACGGAGCCGCCATTCAAGCTGCCATACTTAGTGGAGACCAGAGCAGCCAGATCAAGGACGTGCTGCTGGTGGATGTTGCGCCGCTATCACTGGGCATAGAGACAGCTGGAGGAGTGATGACGAAACTGATTGAGCGCAACAGCCGCATTCCTTGCAAGCAGTCGAAGACCTTTACCACATACGCAGACAACCAGCCCGCCGTGACAATTCAGGTGTTTGAGGGCGAGCGCGCCATGACAAAGGACAACAACGTGCTGGGCACTTTCAATCTGACCGGCATTCCACCAGCTCCGCGCGGTGTGCCAAAGGTGGAAGTTACCTTCGATCTGGACGCCAACGGCATATTGAATGTGACAGCCAAGGAGATGAGCACTGGCAATGCAAAGAACATAACCATCAAGAACGACAAGGGACGTCTCTCGCAAGCCGACATCGATCGCATGGTGAGCGAGGCCGAGCAGTATGCCGAGGAGGACGAGAAGCATCGCCAGAGGATTGCTGCTCGCAACCAGCTGGAGAGCTACGTCTTTGGCGTGAAGGAAGCTGCCGAAAACGCTAAAGACAAGATTTCGCAGTCTGAGCGAAGTACCGTGCTGGACACGTGCAGCGAAGCAATCAAGTGGCTCGACGCTAATACCACAGCCGACAAGGAGGAGTATGAGTACAAGCTGCAGGAACTCACAAAAGTCTGCAGTCCTGTGATGACGAAAATGCATCAGGCAGCTGGAGGCGGCGATGGTCCACAAGCTTCCCACTGTGGCCAACAAGCTAAAGGCTGCAATGGTAGCGGTGGCCCCACCATTGAGGAGGTTGATTAAAAGTACAATGTTCCTTAATTAGTATTATAAGTTCTAAGTAAAATTAGATCTCAGTCAATTGTTTATTTGTAAGTTTCTAGAATTTTATTTATTTTGAATACAATTCAATAAAAGCCATGTTATCTAATATAAAATTTCGAGTTTTGAGTATTTACTTTGGCAGTCCTTCATGCTCGGCCCAGTCTAGCCAGGATCCTTCGTAGCTCTTCACATTTTTAAAGCCCAGGGCGACAGCCGCTTCTGCAGCCTTTAAGCTACGAATTCCGGCTTTGCAATGAAACACAATTTCCGTATCGGGCTGTGGCTTATCCCGTGCATATTTAGATTTGAACACCTGGTCGTTGGCCGCCAGTTCTTGGCTAACGATGCCTAATGGAATGTTTATGCTGGATGGAATTTGTCCAGTTTCTTGTAGTTCCTTTGGCTCACGCACATCAATGAGCAATTTATTTGGCTCGTTCACCAATTTCTTGACTGCAGCATAATCCACAATGCCAATGGAACTGCCACTACTGTAGAGACGTTGCGTTGTTGTGGCGGTAAAAGTGTTTTGTAAAATTGTTGACTTTGCAACAGCAAGTTTGTCAGGGTTTCCAATCGATAAATGTCGTAAACTACAGGTTGTCGTTCGGAGCACAGTGGGTAAATATCTTATAGGTATTTTTGCCATTGTGATAATTGTTTAAAAACAAATGTTATGTAAATCGTAGATGCACTGGCCACCTGAATCTTTGAACAGTGATGGCAACAAAGCTGATGCTGATGTCGATGCCGGCTATCAGCTGTTTTGTTAATGGCGCTGCCAGACTGTTGGCTTTTTAATCAGTACGTTTAAATAAACTGTTTCGAATATCAAAAAGTATTAATTCAGGCGTATTTTGAGCCCTAAATTATAGTATATATTGTTACCAGCCGCCTGCACTATCACTCACCCTATTCGTGAAGAGTGTTTGTCGAGCTCACATCACATGATAAGTCAAACGTCCGAGAAATATGGTTGCTTCTTGATTAAACCAATTAATCTTTATATGACGCTACGATCCCGGATTCAATTAGAGAGTGGGAACATTTGCTTATTTGTATGAATATTATTACTTGGCGACTCATCAACAACATTAAAGAATGCTTTTCACACGAACTGATAGGCGAAATTTTAAACTTTCCTTTTAAGTTAAGATGTAGTGGAAAAGTTTTAAGTACAATGAAGCATGTAATGCGTAAATTAATTATAATTAGGGTTTATTTTCAAAACAGAGCTGATAATCAATTAATACGCCTGAACGAATGAAATAGTAAATTAAATTGGGGGTAAACATAATTATGTGTGAAGAAATTATACATACAAACATATGTATATACTATATAAATCGTCAACCGTTATCATTGCTGTTTACATGGAGGTGGAACAATTAAAAGGTTAGAGGTGTCTAATCAGACCTGGAAGAAACATGACTTCCGATTAGAATTGTTTTTCCCATGGACCGCCAACACACAAAACTGATAACAATTTGCATGTATGGATGTGGATGTCTACTGCTAGCTCACTCGGCTCACGTACGTCATTAACTGACGCGTGCCAGAAGAGTCGAGTTTGGGTTGGACTAATCCAATGTGACACATTTAATAGTAAATAGCTTGTCCCATTCATAATTTTTTGTTTGTTTGACAACTATTCAAGCTGATAATCTGAAACCTCCCTAGACTTCAATTCCGGTTTGTTTTAATGCAAACTTTATTAGAAAACATCGTTATACATACAGGTATGGGCACTTAAAACTAATGAAATCGCAAATACAACTAGCTATGAATATGGCGTAAAAAAGCGCAGCTATATAAATCATCAGTAACTAAATACAAATAGGTACATAATGCTTGATCTTAATGCTTACATAAAAGTTTAGAACATTGTTCATAATAAAATTCAACGATTTACTGTCTTAGTATGTGCTATTAGGACGTGTCTAGTAACATAGACTACTTAGGTATACAGACACATTATACAATTATGGTCTCTTTAGCATATATTTCTGTTCAATCATTTGCGGTCTGCAATGTGTCCAAGAGATTGACCTACTTTTATCTGTTGACCAGCCACAATATCGAACTTGAAGGTCTTTGGCGCTTCGAAGAGGAGCACAATGGTACTGCCCATATTGAATTGTCCGATGAGGTCGCCCTTGGAGAACTTTTGGCCTGGCTGATCGGGCTTTTTCGCATCTAAATGGAGTTCGTCGTATTCGTATGTGCTTGGTGGATGAGCACCCACATTGAAGCCCGTCCAGCGATTGGTTTTTAGGTCAGAATCCATATAAATCTCCACAGAACCCACATTGGTGGCACCCACGGCTGTGTAGCTAAAGAAGCCGTGCTTCCATTTACCCATATATAGCACACGCTCATTCAGGCAGAATAGCCCAGGCAACCAGTTGGCCACTTTGGGACTGACCGATAACAGCTCGCCTGAGAAATGACGTCGCACTGTCGGTTCCCAGGCAGCCGGTGAATGAAATCGATGATAATCTCCCGGGGCCAAGTAGATAACACATTGATACAGTTCCGTTGAGCCGTCGCGCTTCTTTTTTAAGGCCTGAGCATAGCTGATTGGCTCGTTCGATTGCTCGACCGTCTGCAGTGGTCCTAAGAAATCTTCGATGCTGTAATTGACGCCCTTCACCTGCTCGATTAGTGAGTCTGCAGCGCTACCGAAGTGCAGAACCTTCCCGTCGGCCGGAGAGACCAGCGGTGACTTATCATCGATGATGCGCGCGCCTTCTTTGAGTGGGCGTGTGAAAAACTCAGCCAGGCTGGCGTAGTGATTAAAATCGGGATACAAAGCCTCGTCAATGTTTACATTAAACATGTTTGAGTACCAACCGTATATATAAGGGCGCAGAGTATGGGGCATGTAGCATGCGGCCAACCAGCCCCAGCAGCGGCTGATAATGCGTAATGGGAGTGAGCAGTAGACCCGCGACTGGAACTCTGAAGCGGTGCGTTGGGTACCGTTACGTCCGCATCGAAATTTATGAAACTGCCATTCGATCGCACCGAAGACACACAAGCCCATGGGTGCCCAGCGCAATAGGAATCCTGTCCACCGTGCGAGCGCATTTTGTCGTAATTGTAGTTGCGTCTGTTTTTTGGCTTGCTGTTGCTTCGGCTTCGAAATTATCGACTCATTGGAGGCGGCATTTGCGGGCAATTGTCGAAAGTGCCGGAGCACAGGCCAGTTTCCGTTATGCAGCACTTGCTTTGGCTGCTGCTGCTCCTGTATGGCCTTCCTAATGTTTCCCGCCTTTAGCAGAAAACGACCGCGCGGCACAAAATATGAAACCATTATTGCTCAAGAGTCTTGCGTCTTTTCTCGTTCTTTCCGCAGCACCCACGCCTCCGCAGTCGTTACTGATTACGTATTACGTATTAGCTGTCTTGCGCTACTCTCGCCTCGCTAAATGAAAATGGCTCGATTTGAGTGCAGGGTATGAATGTTTCTCTTATGTGAAATTGAATATATCACAGTAACTATTAGTAAAATTAATTGCCTGAATCTGGAAACATGTACATGTGTCTAAAGCAGCTAGAGTTTATGTCAGAAAACCCTATTCTAATAAGTTTTTAATGAGCAAGATGCGAGGGCAAAATAAAACACTTCCGTTATGTAGCACTGCCTGACGACAACTGAAAGATGGAAACAAACGGTTTGTGCGTTAAAGATTGATATTGTGTGTGAGGGCGCCATAATGACTACGTCGCATGTTCTTTTCTCACCAAAACAAAACTCTCTTCGTGAGCGACGACGACGGCGACGACGACTGCGGCTGCGAATGTGACTTATTCAGTTGACTTATCAATTGGTTTTGACTTCGTGTTATTTGTAACATCAACAATCGCTATTCAAGGTTCTTGGCGCGCGCCTTTGCTTCAGTGGACCAATGTTTTTGGGTTACAAACAGGTTTATTTTTGTTTTTTATTTCAAGCTTTGTGCTCATTTGTTTTGGTCTGTTATGAGTTGACAATTGTTTTTTTCCCTTGCTATCGTATATGTAACTGCGCCGCAGCTCTGTCTGCAAGGGTGGCAACTCTGCAATCAGCACATTGAACAGCTGTTTGACTATTTGTATTTTGCGTTTTCATACAAAAAAAGAAATTAAATTGTATGCATTGATTCAAAAATATTAAATGCGAAACCATGACTGACGCGGAAAAGCAGCCGGTCTCGTTCGCCTGCCAGCGGTGCCTGCAGCCCATAGTACTGGACGAGCATCTGGAGAAAATAAGCGTACATGCTATGGCTGAACTTTCACGTAAGACAACTTGAATAAATTTCTAATTTAATTTTACATATGTTGCTTAAATGTAACGATCTGATTTTAGTACCTATCTATGGTGGAAATGTTAACACTATCGATCCACAAGATGCCCATAGCTTTGACCACTTTGTGCCGCCATTCAGGCTAACAGACTCGATCAATGGTACGGGTTTTACCATGGTATCTGATGGACGTGACAATAAGAAATTGAGCTCTGCATTTAAGCTTAAAGCAGAGCTGTTTGATTGCCTGTCCTCGAACTCGGAGATCGATCATCCGCTGTGTGAAGAGTGTGCCGATTCAATGTTGGAGATCATGGATCGAGAGCTCCGAATAGCTGAAGAAGAATGGCATGTATACAAAACATACCTCAACGAGCTAGAACAGCAGCAAGAAGTTCCGAATGTGGATGCCCTTGATAAGGAATTGCAGCAATTGAAAGAAAGTGAACAAGAGCTACTAAAGGAGCTGGCGAACCTAAAGGCCGAAGAGAAGACCTTGAATGAAGCTATTGAGCAAGAGGAATTGATAAAAGAAAAGTTGCATGAACAGGAGGAAAGCTATTGGCGCGAGTACACAAAGCATCGTCGGGAGTTGATGCTCACGGAAGACGACAAGCGCAGCTTGGAGTGCCAGATAGCCTACTCGAAGCAGCAACTTGACAAACTACGGGACACGAATATTTTTAACATAACATTTCATATCTGGCATGCCGGTCACTTTGGTACAATCAACAATTTTCGACTGGGACGCCTGCCATCCGTCTCCGTGGACTGGTCAGAGATAAACGCAGCCTGGGGGCAGACGGTGCTATTACTGTCAGCTCTGGCGCGTAAAATTGGCCTGACCTTTGAACGCTATCGCGTCGTTCCATTTGGCAATCATTCGTATGTGGAGGTACTAGGCGACAATCGCGAGTTGCCTCTGTATGGCAGCGGAGGCTTTAAATTTTTTTGGGATACAAAATTTGATGCTGCAATGGTGGCGTTTCTAGACTGTTTGACACAGTTCCAGCAGGAGGTGGAGAAGCGCGACACCGACTTTCTGCTGCCATACAAAATGGAAAAGGGGAAAATAATTGATTCTTCCACAGGCAATTCTTACTCCATCAAGTGAGCAAACTTTATGCATTTTAATTGACAAAATTACTTATATATTAAAAATTACAGAATCCAATTCAACTCAGAGGAGCAATGGACAAAAGCTTTAAAGTTCATGCTAACGAATCTAAAGTGGGGTCTAGCTTGGGTTTCTTCCCAGTTCGTCTCGCAATGAAATTGTCGATTGTCATTATTTTAATTATGTATAATATTTAGTTTTTAATATTACAAATAAACTCTTTAACATTTAATTGACTTTTTTGTATCAGCTTCAATTTCGCTGTCGTCAGTGTCTGAACCGCTGCCAGATAAATCGTCATCAATCCATAGAGCGGCCTTTTTCTTTTTAATCGCCTTTGCAGTGGTTACTGTGTCGGCCTTTCGTTTAGTACCAAGTGTTGCACTAGTATTGGACGAGCTTGGGACAGCTTTGGTTGCATCAGTGTCACCTCCATTGGCTGTCTTGGCTTCCTCGGCCTGTTTGAGTCCCTCCTCGAATGCATCATTCACCTTTTCGGTCAACTTAGCTCTGGCCTCCTCATACTGAACGTCTTTAAATTCGTGCTTTGGCACTGCTAAAAGTTTCTCAATTTTTCGTTTCTTACGCTCCTCAGCTTCGCGCTCACGCTCGCCTTTCTTTTCCAGCCATGCCCGAACACGTTTCTCTTCGTTAATGTCGCGCAAGCGACGTCCACTCAAATCTCGACATGCCTCACGATTTGTAGTCTTCTCGATTTGTGCGCCAATCGCTCGCAGCATAGATCCGAAGCCTCCCTTTCCTCCAACCTGACGGAGGACGCAATGAATGCCACCAATTTCATGTTGAAATTCTATGTTTTCATTTAAACGTTTGCCATTGTATGTCAAATAATATTCCTCGGGGTGCAAATGCTATTAAAACTTCTGTTATTATTTGCTCAAATGCATTAATATTAGTATTTACTTACTGTCGCTGCCTCGATGAGACCATTTATATCTTTTATATTAATGTCATTTGTATTAACAGTAATTAACTGTTTACTGTTTACAAAAATATTAATCACCATTTTATTAGTTTCTTTCTACTGTTGTACTTCTTGGCTATTCTGCTTTGTGCTGCTACATCGCCCTTTGAGCGTGCGTTAGAAAGAGAAAGCGGTGATGCATGAGTTTATCAATCCGCACAGAGTTGCCACACGATAAATATTTTGTTAAAATTCCTTAAAATTGGTTTCAACTTATTTGATTTGAATTGTAAAATACGTGTAATTGTTCAAAAAGTACTAAATAATTTGGTTTTGAAGTACGCCTACTGTTAACATTATATTTCAGCTTTTGATTGGCTTGCCGCCATTGAAACATGCCAATTGAACTGAGTTGGCAGCACAGACAGTCGCACACAAAGTGCTCATTTAATTAGTTCGCATTTTGGACGACGAAAGGTAAAAATTTGGCGACGCGTTCATAGAACTTTTTAACCAATATATCAAATCGAATGAAAATCAAATTTAATTAAAACCGGTAGCGGCTGATATTAGTTGACAAATGATATATGTTAACAAAGGTTTTGTGAAGTGAAAAGCGGTAAATTTACAAGCTCAGCCACGTCACTGAGCGCAATAAAATAGTGAATTTTAGAAATGAAATCAGAAATTTTGAGCTGAAAGTGATGCCAGCTACGAACAATGGGCAGTGTACACCGATGGCAACAGCGGTGGTAGTTGTGTTAATGATAATTCTAGCTTTCTGCATCGGTTTCGGGTAGGAGGGGTAAAAAGCAAATCGAACAACGCTTAGCATAAAAGATGGCAGCAAAGTGAACAAGATATGTATATACATGCATATACATACATGCGCTTGTATACTATACATACATGCATATGCATATATATATATATGTATAAATAATATATAACTAGATAACCATCGCAAAAATCCGAATTCGCGTTGCCTGACCGGAAAAAACGAAATAAAATGGAATAAAAAATTTATATTGCAATAGGTTGCAACTTCATAATTATCAAAAGCAAAATAAGTGTCAATTCATGTGAGGAGCAACACAAAACGCAAACAAAAAGACAATCGCGTCGCCTTTTAGATTTCCGACCGATTCGCTGCCTTTTTCTTTATTTTGTCTATGACTTTGAGAACTACTTCATTTCTTTATCATGCAATCAAATTTAATTTACAATTAAAATGCCATGCAAATTAATTTCTTCTGCATTAAAGGCGATTTCAAATAATATAATATAAGGAATAGTACAAATGCAACCGTGTGCGTTTTTTTTTGTTGGCCGGTTTCGGTTTTGGCAAATTTTTCTTTCCTCCCATTTTCTCTTCCATTGTGTATTTTGTTATGGACGGTCATTCATCTCCTAGTTGATTTTGGTTCTTTCTTTCTCCCTCTTTTTCTATGCGCGCGCGTGTGTGTGTGAGTTTGTTAATGCTCAATAATTATTTTAGCTAGCAAAAGAATGTTCAAATGTCCGAGAAAGTTGCATTTATTTTATCCATTAAATACTACGTAATACGCAAAATGCCTTCAATGCAAAATATGTTGTATTATTTGATATTAATATGAAAAACTGAGCCAGTTGCGACCGTCGCTTCACACTCTGCTTTTGAGAGAGTATTGCGTGCGGGTGTATGCGTGTGTGTGTACATGCGTCTGTGTGTCTGCAATGCTTTTGCGTTGCCCGCTGCCTTTGTTTCATATTCGCACTCGCGCTCATACAACATTATCCATATCAAATGCTCGCCTAATTCCCCATAGCAATAATTCGATCATGTGTTGCTTGGTTCTATTGTGGATTGTGGACATCAAATCACACAGAAAAAACTCCCTGTCTACAATATAAAATAATATATGAAATACACAATTCTCTCATTCTTACCTACTGCTAATATAAGTGTTTTAACTTTATTTTATTTTATTTTTGCTTTTGTTACAGTGATTCCAGTCTTCAACTTCGAATCCAACCAATAATCGGGCGAACTTTCACTGAAGGCAGCGTTTATATAATACATACATACACACGTTTTTGTACCAGAAATGAGCAGAAAGTTAGTGTTGATATAAAATTCTTTAAATCTATCAACCATAGTACTGACAGAATATATACATTTTTTCTATGACTATTTGTATAGAGCAATACTAATTAAAATTTGAATAGAAATTTAAATTTAGCTTCAGTTAGTGCACAACTCTCAAAGAGTATGTTCTACCAGACAACAAGAACGATAACAACTGGAGTCAAACAAGCTAAAGCAAGCACATCGATATATTCCAAATCACTCCATTAGCGCATAGTTAGAATATATATTAAAGAAATTTACTGACAACAACAACAGCAGAAACAACAACAGCGAAAGCAATAAACGACGAACCTCAGCATTAAGCAAAAAGATTTACTACTAATATATATCTAATTCTATATACACGGATATATAAATAAACAAAAACAGAATAGTTGTATAGTCCAGAATCGGAAGTATTCAAAATTAATTACAAACAGAGAAAAAAAGAGTAATAGAAATTAGTTTTCGTTGTTAGTCATTATCTGAAGTTTTAGTTGTTCGAATTGAATAATATATGTATAGGTATATACATATATAAATTAATATACATTTTGTATATGATTGTAAACGTGAGTGCATTGAATTTTTATATCAAAGTAAAATTATAAAAGTCCCAGGCATCTAGCTGTCCTGATAAGTGTTTTTGTATTAATGTGGACAGTAGCTGTAGAGTAGTTAATACAACATCCGTTAGACACTAGCAGCAGGAGCAGAAGCAGTAGAAGCACTTCAATAGATAGAGAGACAGTTAAGTAGATACATCAGTAGCTAGCTAACATCTGGGTGAAAATGGACGAGTCACAACCTAAAACGTTGTACGTTGGCAATCTGGATAGTTCGGTTTCGGAGGATCTGCTGATTGCACTCTTTGGCAAAATGGGACCAGTTAAAAGCTGTAAAATCATAAGGGAACCAGGCAATGATCCGTATGCCTTCATCGAATATTCCAATTACCAGGCGGCCAGCACAGCCCTGACGGCCATGAACAAACGTGTTTTTCTAGACAAAGAGATCAAGGTTCGTATTAATTGTAGAATCTATAACGTAAGGACATAAATTTATATACTGACCCATTTATTGACATTATTATACTCATAGGTCAACTGGGCCACTAGTCCGGGCAATACGCCCAAGACAGACATCAGCTCGCACCATCATATATTTGTTGGTGATCTCAGTCCAGAGATTGAGACAGAGACGCTGCGCGAGGCTTTCGCGCCATTTGGCGAGATATCAAACTGTCGCATTGTGCGCGACCCACAGACCATGAAATCCAAGGGTTATGCCTTTGTGTCGTTTGTAAAGAAGGCTGAAGCTGAGAATGCAATTCAGTCAATGAATGGCCAATGGATCGGTTCACGTAATATACGCACGAATTGGTCAACACGCAAATTGCCACCGCCACGGGAATCGTCCAAGTCAGGTGGGCAAGGTGGCGGCATGGGTGGAATGGGTGGTGGCGGCGGCGCTGGCAATGGCATTAAGAACAACCAACGACATACCTTCGAGGAGGTCTACAATCAATCAAGTCCCACAAACACCACCGTTTACTGTGGCGGCTTCCCGCCAAATGTTATCAGCGATGAACTGATGCATAAGCACTTCATGCAATTTGGCCCCATACAGGATGTCCGTGTTTTCAAAGACAAGGGATTCGCGTTCATCAAGTTCGTTACAAAAGAGGCGGCGGCACGCGCCATCGAGCATACGCACAACAGCGAGGTGCACGGCAATCATGTCAAGTGCTTCTGGGGCAAGGAAAATGGTGGCGATAATTCGGCCAACAATGTTAACGCAGCTGTTGCGGCGGCTGCCTCTGCCAATGTGGCTGCCGTGGCGGCAGCAAATGCGGCCGCCGCTGCAGGTGCAGCTGGCATGCAAGGCCAGATGATGACACAGCAACAGATTGCCGCAGCCACTGGGACAGCGTTACCCGGCCAAATGATGACGCCACAACAGATAGCAGCCGCTGCGGCGGCGGCGCAGGCACAGTACCCTTATGCGGCAGCCTACCAACAAATGGGTTACTGGTACCCACCGGCGGTAAGTGTCAATGGCAAAGAAAATAAGAAATTAGTTACTCAAATCAGCTCCCTCACTTACATATCTTATAGCAGAGCTATCCGGCCCAGATGCAAACGCAGTACATGCAGCAGGGTTATTATCCTTATGCCTACACTACCAGTGCTCAACAGGCAGGAGCTGTACGTACGTATCGACCCAACTAAATAAATACATGCATATTTGATATACGATATATATGATTTGTAATGTGTACGTTGTCCTTTCCAGCTGCCGGGTACCGTGTGATGCCGCCAAATATGGCATGGGGTGTGCCTGGCGCCACTGTGATGCCAGGAGTGAGTGCCGCTGCTAGTGCGGCTGCTGCCGCGAACGGTTCGCTTGCCCCACAAATGATGTACAGCGCTGCGATGCCACAATATCAAACCCAATGAGCAGAGACATGACGCCTGCTTCGACGCCGTCTGCAATATTCGGGCAGCCAGCAGCGACCGCACCCGCATCAACGTCCGCAAAATTTACAACAACAGGCCAATATCGTGTTCGAGTCTGAAACTATTAGTACTGATGACAACAACAACAATAACGACACAAGCAGCAGCAGCATCACCACAATGAGCGGGAATTAAAATCTGTTAGCGAGGAGACGTTTAGATAGACATTTACCCTAATGTTTCAATTCCTATCGTTTCTATAGCTACGCTAGCTACACACTTCATTGTGCTCAGTTTCGTTCGCATTGTGAGATGCATTACGTTAAGTTAAAAGCAAAAGCGTTTCGAAAATTAGCATTGCAATTTGTGTCATCATTCGCCGTATGTTCTGCAGATGTTTGTGTGTGCGTGCGTTGCGTGCGTGCAGTTGGTCGAAGCAAAGCGTTGAACTAAAAGTTGAATCGCGCGCAGCGGCAGCGGCAGCGCTCTGAAGCTCTGGGCGACGGGCGGGTAGCTGTAACAATCTAATCCAATCTAAGTACATGTTAAAATAATTTAATGATTTGTAAGTTAAGTCAGATATAGGCGTATACAAGAAACGGAAACAAAAACAAAACAACAAAATACAAAACAAAAAGTAAAGTTTAAACATCTACAATTGAATAAAATAAAGCAAAACATCAATCGAAAGTGACAAAGCAAAATCTAATTGTTGTGAAAATTTGTAATTCATAGCGTTGAATATTATGTCAACAGCTAATGATAGAAATTCAAATTAAAGCGACAGGCCGAAAATAAATGCATAAACAAATTTAGTCCTTAAGCGATTGTAAATGCGAAAATATTTCATAATTACAATGTGTGAATTATGTATGTAAAATGTAAAATAAAGAAACAAAAAAATATATAAAACCGACGAAAAACTAATTTCAGAATTGGCCTACATATTTTTAAAATTTAAGTATATAGATTCTCAAATATTTTATATTTTAAATGGCTTCTTGAGTGACTCGTTTTTTGTAAGCTCCTCCTGCAATTGTCATGGCTTTTCTTCGAGCCTTGACTCTAATTTCTTATTCTCGAACTTTAGAGTATGTTGTTTACATTTCAACGAAATAGGGGATACTTAATAAGCGAGCCTATTGATATTACTTCGAAATAAACACTGCCAGGTGAACAGTAACATAATAAACTATGGCTATAATTGCATATTTTAATAAAATATCACTACCATATCGATCACAAAGATTATTATTTTAAATGTATATGATGAATAAATTAAAAAAAAAAAAACAAATCTAGGTATATCATTTACGATTTTATATGGCTGCTAACGTATTTCATTTTTTTTATATGTGTGAAAAATTACAGATCAAAAGTATTTAATCATCATACCAATAAAACAGCTGAATGAAATAAACCAACCCATTACCTTTTAGTATTTTAATTGGAAAAATTATTCTTTCTTTTTGTAGTCCGGTCACACTGCTTGCCATCGCGCGTTAGTTTTTTAATTTCTCACTAGCGTCGGCATCATCTTGGCTTCGCGAACATCGTCTACAAATTTTAAGGTTTAATATTTGAGAAGTTTTATCTGTGTTATATAAATCAAGAGGTTTGTTTAATTTTCTTTATAAAAATAAATATATGACTAATTATATGTGTGAAAAAACATAAACAAAAGTGTAGCTGTAAAATTTGTATTTTGTGTTGCGGTAGGATTCGAGTCTGGAATAGACACAATATGCTCAATTGCCGGGTTTGACTTGTTCAGTGAAATTTGCTGAAAATGTTGTGAAATACACAAACTAGAAATTAAAAACTGCACAAAATATATTAGTTATTAATATGTGCACACATATACCCCAGGTATATGCACATAACATTGTATAAGTGTGTATGTATGTATATGTATTATTTTTTATCGTTCGCTGCAGCTTCCGCCATTTTTAAAACAAACCCCGTCAATTGAGCCTGTACAGTGGTGGCAAAACATTAAGCCTCAGGCAATTTTTTAAACATATTAGTTGTTTTTCAGTATTATTGGACTCAAATTCATAACTTATCTTTATACATAAAATAGACTATATATTAAAATTATCTTTTGAATGATTTACTCCGATTTAATGTAAGCTAAAGTGGCTAATATTTTGTCGCGTACTGTAACCCGCCTTTTTAGTTTGTATGTGTGTCGACATGCCTATGCGTAGTAGTATGAGTGTCTTTGTTGCAAGTTTGACATTCAATACTCAAGCAGTTAAACTATATAAACATAGCCCATATTTTACCACATGCAATGTCCAATGAACGTAAACAAATATGTATACGTTTTCAGAATAAAAATAAAATGTATACTCAAACGTACATTCATACATAGGCAACATTTCAATTATGTTTATGCTTATTTTGATGCATACTTTGCTTTCTATGTTGCTCGTCGTTGAGTTTATTAAACTCTGCTACACTAAACAAAAACAAAAAAGAATTACAATGATGGCGCGAGGGCTTGTCGCATAATTGCATACATACAAGCATTACGTATGTATGTAAGTACGCATTTACAGATGTACGTTTGTCGTTTCTGTGTGTGTTTGTGTTTTGATTGTCGTCTGACTTTTGCATTTCGCTTGCTGCACTGTATGCCTGTATGTTCGTATATATGTGTGTGTGCTTTTATTTTTTTTCTGTCTGCGTCTCTGTGCATTTATTTTTCGCGTTGTTGCCTCTTGGACTTTCTAAAAGAAAAGTGCAACATACTTTATGTTTATTGCCTTTGCCAAACAACTATCCCTGGCTCTTTTTTCCTATTTTGTTGCATTAAACTTGTTTGTACTCTTTGCTTCTTTTTCTTCTTTGTTTGAGGCATCGCAAAATTGTGTGCAATACGCATCGTAAAGGAAATTTTCTATTAGGTATTTTCTGCGTTCTTTTTCTTTGCCTGCTTTTTACATGAATTTTCGCCCTCTGGCCGGTATGTCTGTGCTTACAATGCTTGTGGGCCTTTTATGTAGCACTTTACAGGAGGTTATCATTAAGTTAAACTTAATATTTTTAATAAATAAAGCTTTATTTATTTTCATACAATATCAAAGATCAACATTATTACGTTCAAACAATTCCTCTTTAGTTTAGTTGGTTCTCTATATCGATTGTCGACTGTATGCTTGTCAGCTATTTTTTGGCGTCGCTTTTAGCTGCATATTTACCGGAAGCCAACAAAGAATTTGTGTGGGAGAAAGAGTTATTAAAGTGGAACGATGTCTTTTGTTAGGGCACTGTCCAAATGATTGTTTCTTATAACAGTTACTGGACTGTAACGATGTAATTATATGCATATGTGTAATAATAATGTTATGCTAGGATTTTGGCAATCCCTGAATCCTATTTACAAAATAGCCGCGCACAGATGTTGGCCATAAAACCATTTACATACCTAGCAGCTGTCAGCTTGCAGGTAACTCTGCTGCCATTGCTCCGGCTCCAGCTGTCACATTCGATAAATCCTTGTCTACCTGCATATCGTTCTTTTGCCTACTTAAACGCTTTGCAAATTTTTTTGCGACGCATTCCAAATTGTCAACTTGAAACCGTCAACACGTTTGCAAAAACGCCTAGCGTCTGACAGCTAATGTGAAAATATCAATTGAGAAAGAAAACTGCAACTGTGATTAAAAATTGCAAAGCAAAATAAAATAAAAGAATAATAAATAATAATAAGAAAACTATTCGCATAATTGTGGTAAGTGGGGTGATCGCAAAGCCGGTTCTGGCCAGGAATGTTAAACGGCATTGTTGGGCGCGTTGTAAACAACCCGTCGCGTTTTGTACGTTTTTAAGCAATGGAGCGTGCTTAGATGTCTTTCGACAGCAATGCGCTTGAACAGCCAGGGGAAAGCAAATGCAAGAATGCATAACTCGAAATTAATTTGAGGCTGACTTCGCTTTAGAAAATAAACATAATAGTGCTTTTTTGGAAAAGTCAGTTTTTTGTTTTATTATTTTAGAATACAGTTTACTTAAGCATATTTCATGTTCTTTTGTTTTTTCAGAATTATCGTGCAACACGAATACACTAAAAGAGAATCTGATGCTCAGCAAGATGGCACAACCGAATACTGTTGGAGGCGGGGGTGGTAGCGGCAGCAATGCTGCAACTGGAAGGCGAATGCCAATGTCTTTGACCGGATCAGGCGCTAGTGGCACTACTGTGTCCCGTCTACAGCAGCAAGCAGCCGCTAGCAATGGACGCTCGAAAAGTCCCCAGAATACTAATGCGAACAAAAAACCCGAATCGAATGTCGTGTCTGGTCCAATTGTAGCAATCAAGAAGACGAGTGGTATACCTCAGCGATCGAGCAGTAGTTCATCTGTGGCATCCTCGTTTTCTTCTTCTTCTTCATCATCTTCTTCTGTATATTCCTCTTCCCCGAGGAGCCAAAATGGGAGCTCCAAATCTACAAATGGCAATCAAAAGTCGTCACAAAACGGCAGCTCAAGCGGCACCACTGTCAAGGAGCAACAGAAAATCAAGGAGAAAGTGTCTGACAAAAAGGATCCGGCCCCAGCGGACCCTAAAGACGAAACAAATGAAATCAAAAGCAATGCCAAGCCAATAGCAGCAGCGCGAGTTGCCGACCCTAAATTTGTCGAAGCTGTTACTGACGCAATGATTGATTTTGAAACCGATTGTGTGATCACTGAAGTGTTCAGCACTCCGACTTCGGATCGCAAGTCGTCGCGCAGGTTGGCTGGGTCATCGAGCAGCCTGGATAAGTCGCCCATAAAGCCAAAGGAGAGTCCGTCACCAGTTTCGAAAAAGCAGGCAGAAAAGCCTAAAGATAAATCAAACGTAGCGGAAAAGACTAAGGAACCATTGGAAGCTGCGGAAAAGACTAAGAAACCATTGGAAGTTGCGGAAAAAACTAAAGAACCATCGGAAGTTGCGGAAAAAACTAATGAACCATCGGAAGTAGAGGAAACAGCTAAAAAACAATCGGAAGAGACGGAAAAAGCGAAGGAAAATTTGGAAGTGGTGGAAGATGTTGAAATGGAGACGCTCACAGTGGATGCGTCGCCTATACGGGCTGTGGCTAATGTACAGCCGACAGCCACTTCTACGCCCGGACGCAATCTCTTTGGTTTTCGTAGCAGCAGCAAGCAGTCCACCGAAGTGGAACTGGCCATAAAGTCATCCAGCTCTTCAGCAATTACACCTGCGCGTAGCTATACCCAGATTAGCGGTCGGCGCAGCATACGCCCAACTGCTTCTATAACGCCCGGCAAATTGGACACCTATAGATGTGTCAATACCGACCTGGACACTTCCAATTGCACCAACACGAGCATGAATGCAACTGTGGGCTCCGAGATACCCAATAGCTCTTCGTTCTCATTCTCGTTCTTTGGACGCGGTCGCAAACGCGAGCGCACGCCCCCGCCTCTATCCGGCAGCCAATCGGCAACCGATATCGCCCAGGATGTGGATATGTCGCCGCCTAAACGCGCACGGTTCGATCTCTTCAGCCTGAACTTGGCATCACCATTCACTATGCTGCGGTCACGATTCTCGAAAACTACAATTAGCACACCGTCTTCACGCCAACGCCATGAACAGACACCGCCAGCTGGCGATGAGGAGGGCAGTGAAGTGCAGAACGTGTCGGGTATTATCAGCCAAGAGGAGGAAGAAGAGCAGCTCAACAAATCGGCAGCCAGCACTGAAGTCAGTGTGGCTCAAGAAGCTGGATCGGAGACGCCAAAGAAGAGCGGTAGCATTGAAGAAGGAGAAGAGGATATAACAAAGGATGATCAGAAGGTGGAAGATCAAGGCGAGTATGCTGTGGCCACTCTGCCCGCTACTGATGTAAGCGTCCCCATTGAACGCGAGGTTTCCAATACTTCGCGCTGCGCAATAATGTAAACGACTCTCTTGAAAATTGCTGTAATGAATCCCAATACCTTCCCACGTCACCTTTAGTAGCTTTAGGAATATCCGATAAATGTCAATGTTAAACCCCGTTTTTTAGGACCTCTTTGGTAATTTGTGTTCTTACGAAAATTACATTGTAAGAGTGTGGATATAAATTGGGCTAAAGCAAATCCATATCCAAGCACTGGCTACAATTCACGAGAGTTGTTAGCCATATGCCATGCACATGGACAGCCCTTTTAATAATGATTTCTCGCTACATAGCTGTGTCCCAGCCTCCCATGTGGCGTCTAGAGCTCAGCTATATACCGACAAATCTTTTATTTTACCAACTAAATCATTTAGAGTACCCTTGAGACATTAGGTACAAAACACAACAATATACACAACATAATCATTTATCATACATAATACATATGTAGCTATAAGATGTGCAAGTTTTATAAAATTTGTGTACTCAATTCAATACTTTATTTGTCACCACAATTTGTATTAGTACCGTAAAAAACATGTAAGAAAATCGATTTTTTAAAAATAAAAATCATTTTACACAATAATCTGCTTTGTTATTTTTACAATGAAAGGTATTTAGTTGCATTATAAAGATATTCATTACTGCATATGTGTGTAGTCAATGCAACTACTTGTTTAATTATTATAGATTATAATGCTTGTATTTAATTTCATTTTCATATTTAAAATCATTTTAATTTGTTATGTACCAGTATTAAATCTGAAGATATTTTTTAATTTTTCGGAACTATCGTATATGTGCGGTACTCCGAAACCAGTTTCTGCATCGGAACTAATTGAAGCAGTCATTAATCGATAAGTTTACAGTTCAAACTGATTAACTCTTATCGTAGCTTGATTACCTTGGATTGTTTATCTTGTATCTTCAATAATAAATTTATTCTTCAATCAAATCTTATTTCAAATTTAATAGTAATATTTCCGTAGTGATTTTCTCGAAGCGATGTCTAAATTACCAGCTATGATGAATCGCATACCATCTTCACATTCGACACATTCGAATAGCAACGTGCACGTCCAGGGCTGTCAACTTGTTTTTGTCAAGGGGCAGCCCTGTAAATAAATAACTTCGTAACACTGGGACTAGTAAAGCATATCGACGCGCTGTTTAAATTGTTGCTTTAAAATCTTTCTACTAACAATTAATGTTTTGTAATTTAAATTAATGTTTATGAATTATTTGATAAACCCAAATTTCGCTAACATGCGTGTAAGAACATAGTATTAACGATTTCGGGAAAAAATATTTTACGCGCGCGAAAAGAATATAGCGAAGCAAATAGAACTGAAGATAATCAAGAATTAGAAGATAACATGGAAAACGCTGATTTGGTGATATCTCAAAACGATCTGCATATTGACTACAAAACACCAAAGAAAACTAGCTTGCTAATCGAAAATGAGGAATTACTGGAAAAAATTAATATATTAACAACGAAACCAGAAAATCACTCGTACAATGCAAAGGTAAGTGAAAATGTACAGTTATGAATAGACTCCCACTACATGGGAAATAGAGTTCCGTTACTTGACGTACACACACATTAATAGAAATCTCGCTGTATGTAGTAGCCCATTGTAAATTATCATTATTTTGTATCATTGCAGCTGCCGACAATTAAGGATTTTGTCATCATCAAGCCCATTAGCCGAGGCGCCTTTGGCAAGGTGTTCCTGGGCTACAAACACAACGACCCAAACAAATTGTTTGCCATCAAAGTGATGCGCAAATCGGAGATGATTAACAAAAATATGGTTTCCCAGGTGATAACAGAACGCAACGCCTTGGCACTGTCTCGTTCGCCATTCTGTGTGAATCTGTTCTATTCGCTGCAATCCGTGTCTTCCGTTTACCTGGTCATGGAGTATATGGTCGGTGGCGATCTGAAATCACTGCTGGCCATGTATGGGTACTTTGACGAGCCGACTGCGCGCTTTTACGTCGCCGAAATGGTCATGGCATTGCAGTACCTGCACCAGCACGGTATCGTCCATCGCGACATCAAGCCGGATAACATGCTGCTCTCGGCGAGTGGGCATGTGAAATTGACGGACTTCGGTTTGAGCAAAATTGAATTGCGACGCGACTTGGAGATATCCGATCTGATCAATTGCTCACCCAATCTCAATGCACGTACGCCGGGCCAGCTACTGTCGCTCACATCGCATTTATCTTTTGGCTCGGAGAAGAAGCTGCAGGAATTCGGTGCTATAAGTGGTGTTCCTTTGGCTGTCACCGGCACGGGCACTTCAAATCTTATGCAAGCCATTAATAAGCATAGTCATGTCATGGAGTCTTCAGATAGCGAGGCGGACACATCCCTTACCGATGGCGAGAAAACGAGTGATAGCAAAATCTCTGGGGTTTCGCCATTCTTTTCCGCCGAAGAGGTCAACGTGTCCGTTCAGCACACCTGCACCACAAACACCAACGTAAGTAGTGAAGCGTTGTGGTGAGACACTGACTTATGTCAATCCGAATTACAGTTTTTGGACAGCAGCGCATCTTCCTATCACACGTGCACCTCAACAGAGATTAGTAAAATCTCGCCGCCTCTGGAAGCAACAGCCGCGGGCGGGGCTCCGGCAAATACAAAGCGGCGGGTAGAATTCCTTTTGGATAGCATTATTAAAGATGGCAGCGACAGTGACAGCGGACGAGATCGTGTCAATTGCCAGGTGAGTCTCGACCACTAGGCGTACCCAGCGAGTACCTGATAAAAATATGCACATTGCTACATTTCCTCAAAAGGGCTGCAAAATGGCCGAACAGGACAAGGTCCACATTGTCGCTAGCGGCGATGATAAAGACGTTGCCAAGTTGGAAAATACAACCGAAGGCTCGTTTGAGTTTTCTATGGTACGCAGGCGTTCGCTCGATGAGGTGCGTTGCATGTTGTGTCCTGTGCCTAAGTGTCGTCTTCTGTCCTTCCCAGTCTTTAATTTTGTGCGTGTCTTAGCGCCTAGCTTTGGGCTTCAGGTGGTAAATAAGATAGCCAAGAGACATTTTATGTTATGATATATGCCCGTATCGATTGATATGTGTCTTGCGAAGGTTTACGATTTTACGCTATGATCTGAGCGTTAATTATATAAAAGCTTTGCGGAATTGGATTTCTGTGCTAATATCAATTGTTATTTGTGTCTAACTGAATGAATACACTTTACTATGATGGTGTTTAGTTCGTATTGATCTTTATTATTCTGAGCCTGGGCTTATATACCCAGACTCATGTATAATTTCAACCCTTAAATCTAATGTATCTATTGCTGAGTGTGTAAGGCTCAGCATTGGGC